CTTGGTCGACGTCACGCTCGTGATAGTGATAACAACTAGCAGGATCTGCCATTCCATCTGAGAAACCCGAGAGAAGAACGTCGGATAAACTCAAGAAGCATCAAGTGTTGTAATTCACCTGTCTTCATAGATGAATCTGTCTTCGATTCCTTTCTCCAGCTTGATCCGCTTCAACTCTCATCCAATTCTCTTTAGACTATCAAAACGTATCCATGCATCAAAATATATTGAAACAAATATGAGTCTGAAATAATGATATGAGGAAATGTGAGAATGGTTTAGTGGAAAGATAATATTTTTTTTTTTGTGAGAAGATCGCCATTTTAGGAATGTTTGAAGCTACCATATAATTAGCCTCAGAGTTTGGCGCTCTTCCCTTCTCTCTTACCACGTTTCTCTGTCTTTTTATTTATTTATTTATGATTAACATTTATCTTAAAATAGAAAATTTTAATTAAGGGTTGTAAATGTTACGTGATGTTGTGACTTGTGAGGAAACAATATGTGTTTAATTTTAAAGAGATTAGACCAATTCAATGTAAGTTTTTGCAAAGTTCACTAAACATGTTTTACGATCATGACCAATTGTTGTAGTCTACCGCCATAAGCTCCAAATATTGAAATAGAACTAGAAAATTGTAATCACAGCTTGATTTAAGTAATAATTTGTGTTCCACGCGAAAAAAAAGAATATCATAGATTGTAGTAGTTTGTAATTCTTAAGATGCGACGTTTACTTAAAAAATGTATAATTTGGATTGTATAGTATAATAGTGTGATTTTGAACTTTTTTATATATGGGATTTTAGATACAAAATATTTTCATCTTCACATACATACATATAACTTGTGATTGATAATCCTTTGCCACAACGAATTAATGGTATTATGCTGATTTGTTACCGATCACAAGAGCATAGTAAAACAATAAGACAAAGCGGAAAGACCAAAAGCGGTACCAAATGTGGATGAAATACAAAGAGAGATGTGAATTGGCCACAAGGGACAACAATATTTAAATGAAAATATTGTTGTCCCTTGTTGTAAGAAATCAAAGAAACTGTCAAGGCTGGTATCCCAAACCACCCAGATTCGACAGTAACGAGTCCAACAACAGAGGTCCAATCAGCCTCCAAGTCTGTCGGACAAACAGCAAATATCAAGGTAAATGTTCAAGAAAATCAGCAAGATGGGGGTAAGGCGTCGGGCTCACACTCATGGGCTGATCTCGTAAAGGGTTCAGGAAAGCAATTAAAGAGGGAAGGTCATGCCTAT